ATAATAATCAATGCATGTTGTGTTCACTTCGTGATTTCGTATGACATCTAAAGCAACGCGAAGCGAAATATGAATATAGCTGATTTTTAATAATCATTTACATATGAAGGTTATCCGTTCATATTCAGTTTAATTGCTACATTCATGTACTTCGTTCGTCTCAGGTAACTATGAATAATGATAAGCCCGAAGTTTAACATTGCTTTTTATGCATATTTTTTATGGTTTTGACCGAAAAGAAAAGATTTCATTTTTACGATCATATTATTGACATGATTTCGAGAAATCTAAGATTCTGATACGAAAAGCAAATGACTGTCTAAAATCACGACTAACACGCTGAAAAAGGGAAGTAAATAAAATATGACTCACAGATTGAGAAGAAGAAAAACCCTTGCAAGAGTAACTATGCAACTGAAAAAGAAAATAAGTCATTTTATTGTTTTTCTTGTAAAATCAACTAACCTTCATACATCTCATAAATGTTTGAAAAATCCTTGTTTTTTATTCGAATTCTATTTATATCGTTACTTCAATTACTATAAATATCAAATTTCAATATTTGCATTTTTTAGTGTGGACATCGCTACCTGAACAAAAAAATATAACTACTAAAAATACTTCACAGTCTACTTCAACACATAGTCAATCTCTTCTATCGACTATATCAACAATTCAAAAAAACAAAGATAATACTCCGGATTCGATTTCACAGAATGAATATTCTAATGATTTAAAATACCCAACAATACTCGACCAAGTGCGTAAATAAATTCGTGTTTTTTTTTCGTAGGTAGAATAATATTATTTATTTTATTTTTCAAGAACCAATCAAATAATCTCGTTGATTCTCGTAATGTAACATTTGAAACAGCATCATCAGATTCAATGACAACATCAAAACAAACTCAAATTCAAAATCCAGAAATATTTATTAAATCTCAATTCAATGATATACATAATATTCTAAATGTTGACTTTAGTATTTCACCCAAAATTGATTCAAATCAACATGATCCATTCGATGAATCATTTATTGATGAAGCCAAAGAGTTCGATGTTAAACAAGTTAGTTTTATAGAAATATTCCAAAAAAAAAATGTTTTTTTTTTTGATTGAATGTTTTATTTTATTTTAGAAAGCAAGTTTATTGAAATGTCTTGATGAAGTATATGTAACTGAAGAAAAATATGTCAAAAAACTTTATGTACTTTCTGTTAAAGTTTCTGATCACGTCAGACAAACATGTCGGAACGATGCAAATCTTCTTAATACATTTAATAGTGCTTATAAATCATTACTTGATACAATAAAACGATTATATAAATTTCATTATGAACATATTTTACCAGATATGGTCGAATATAAAACAGGTCTTCGAACAGATAATATATGGTCAATATTTGTTGAACATTTTCAAACTATTGAAAATTTATATAAAGAATATTATATTGTATATGATGAAAATCAACAAAAATTAGAACGTTTATGTACTACATATTCATTAATTCATGAAGCAATGCTTCAATGTCAAGTTCATCTAGGAAATTTGTATCCAATTAATGAACTTAATTGTGCAAATCAACATTTGCTTCGGTGAGACAAATATAATTCAAATAAAGATTATAAAACAGTACAGCATATAGACTCTGTCGGATCTGAGTTCGAAAAATTTTCGACCTAATGGACTCCAATAGTATATATTTTTTCTATAAATATATTTGATAAAATTTAATAAACAAATTTTATTAAGCGTACTTTCTCCTACTGTAGTGGAAAAGTTTAACAACAAAGTATTTTTTTTTCTATAATTTTAGGCATCTAGCTTAAATCCAGAAACTGACTTTAATAATCAATGAAGTGTTCTATCTAATGCATTCTATAGCAAGATTTCATATGGCAACGTTTCTAAAAAATTGAACATAGTAGTTTTCAGATCCTAAGAGATTTTGTTTGACCTATTTTTCAACAATACCATTTTAGAAAGCAAAAAATTCTGAAGAAAATGAATGTTAAAATATCAACTCGACTAGACACAAGTAGATAGATAACGTAACGATGGAAGATTGAAAAAATTGTTTTTTAGTATTGCATT